GTATGGGGTGTGGGTGGGGGTGTGTGGAGGGCTGGGTCCTGGTGAGGGCGTATGGGGTGTGGGTGGGGGTGTGTGGAGGGCTAGGTCCTGGTGAGGGGGTGTGGGTGGGGGTGTGTGGAGGGCTGGGTCCTGGTGAGGGCGTATGGGGTGGGGGTGGGTGTGAGGTGGGGGTGTGTGGAGGGTTGGGTCCTGGTGAGGGCGTATGGGGTCTGGGTGGGTGTGACTTGGGGGTATGGAGGGCCGGGGTCCTGCTGGGGGTGTGCGGGGTGGATGTTTTTGGGTGGCGAGATGTGATTCGGTGCCTTGGAGGCATATTTTGGGGTCAGACACCCGGTCCCTAGGCCCAGGCTGGCTTGTCCCCTCTGCCACTGCCCCATCCTCCGTTGGGGGCAGCGTGTGCTTGGCAGTGGGGGCCTCAGCCCCCCTCCTCCATGTGGGCTGAACGCTGGGCCGGGCCCCAGAGGGCCTGGGCTGCCTGGGCTTCCCTCCCTGCACGGAGCCCTGTACACATGGCACTGGGGGTGGCAGGTCTCTGGTCGCTGCTGGGGACCGAAGGGGGCAGCCACACCAGGCCTGGCTCTGACAGCCCCATCCCCGCTCTCCCCTAGGCAAGAACCTGTCCAAGCGTCGAGAGGGCAAAGCAAAGGCAGCGGCTCCAGGGAGCACCAAAGGAGGGGCCCAGCCGTTGAATGTTTAAGAAATGACAGTAACGCCTGCCCAGAGCGACCGCTCATGGAAGTTGGCAGAAGTGGTGGCTTGGAGGAGGTGGTGTCTCTGCAAAGGTGGGCCAGTGCCCTCCCTGCTGCACTGCTGGGGGGGAAGCACGTTGCTCTGGTGTTTGGGGAGGCTGAGCAGAGCGCCGGACGCACCCAGAGGCCTGACCGTGGCTCTGCCCGGGTCCCTGTTTGGCCTCCTCTCCTGAGACCCCCCCCACATTCCCTCCCCCCACCATGTCCCTTGGGTCAGCCCAAGGCCCCTCCCCCCACTTGCCCCCTTCCCCAAGGCCCACCCCCCCCCACCACATCACTCCACCCCCTTCCTTGGCTCGCAGGCCACCAAATCGCAAGACCCCTCTGAGCCCCCCCCCTCCACACAGCTGCTCCTTGCTGAGTTCCTCTGCCCCCCTCCCCTGCCCACTTTGGCACTCTGAGTCCTGTCCTTCACACACACACCCTGTCTGCTGCTCACTGAGTCCCTCCTCTTCTCTACCCCCAGCCCCCCCAAGGTCCCTGCTGCTCGCACTCTCTGCCCGCCAGGGCTGGCTTTAAGCCGCGTCCTACTTCTCCCCCCTCCTTCGAGCACTTGCGCTGCCATACAGCTGATCAGTGCAAGCCTGGGAGGGAGGGGTGAGGAGGAGGAATGTGGTGTGCTTGGGGAACACGCGGGGCTTTGGGGAGGGATCCAATGGTGCAGTGAGGGGGCCAGGGCAGGGATTTGGGAGGGATCCAATGGGGCAGGGAGGGGGCGGAGATGGGGCGGGGGAGGGTGCGAGACAATTCGCGTCCCAGCGTGGCACCCCGCACCTGCTAAAGCCGGCCCTGCTGACCGCCACCCGAGCCAAGCGCTCCCCTGGCCCAGTCTGGAACTTGAGCAAGTACAAACACTTGGGAGGGGCATTCGCTGCCCCTAGGTACCCCTAACTGTCGCTGCTGCTTACCAGGAACACTGCTTTCGAATCACTGCAAACCTGTCTGCAAGGAGAGCAGAAAACTGCACCTGCCTGCTTACTGTACTCTAAAAATGCCTCGTAATATTCCTGTCTAAATGACCGATTTTCTGACCAACAGCAGTTTTTGGCTACTCGGATAAAGGAGAGGCGTGAGGAGCCTCGGGAACAGGACAGAGAGGAGCGAGCAGCGGCCAGGGAGGCCTTGTGGGAAGAGGCAAAGGCAGGACAGGGCCACAGAGGAAGAAGCCGAGAGGGAGCAGGTCCTCCAGGTGGAGCACGGCCAGAGCACGGGTGGGGCCACGGTCCAGGTGCTGGTACCGCCCCTTTCGCGGGACCTTCCAAGACCAGCCCGGCCGGTCTCCAGAGAGAGAGACGCCCCATCCAGCATTTCCTGCCACCCACATCTGCATCGCCTCATCTTCCCTCCAGTGCACCCACTGCCCCACATCCCCCAGGGGCGGATTACTGCACGGGCC